TTCCGAAAATCTTCAAACTTTCAATGGAATAGTGTTTGTTTCAGGCTATTTAACTTTGCCTAACAAAAAAAAATTACATTTTGACTCAACTTTTTAACATTGTCACTTTTTGCACAAAAGTACTTATCTCGCCGAGTTGAGCACTTTGTGTGCAAATTTTTGACTTTCCGCCATATTTCGAGTACTTTTAAGAAAAACTTCAAACTTTCAATGGAATAGTGTTTGTTTCAGGCTATATAACCGAGCCTAACAAAAAAAAAATTACATTTTGACTCAACTTTTTAACATTGTCACTTTTTTGACTTTCCGCCATTTTTCAAGTATTTTTCCGAAAAACTTCAAACTTTCAATGGAATAGTGTTTGTTTCAGGCTATCTCACTTTGCCTAACAAAAAAAAATTACATTTTGACTCAACTTTTTAACATTGTCACTTTTTGCACAAAAGTGCTTATCTCGCCGAGTTGAGCACTTAGTGCAAATTTTTTACTTTCCGCCATATTTCGAGTACTTTTCTGAAAAACTTCAAACTTTCAATGGAATAGTGTTTGTTTCAGGCTATCTCAGCGTGCCTAACAAAAAAATTACATTTTGAATCAACTTTTTAACATTGTCACTTTTTGCACAAAAGTGCTTATCTCGCCGAGTTGAGCACTTAGTGCAAATTTTTGACTTTCCGCCATATTTCAAGTACTTTTCCGAAAAACTTCAAACTTTCAATGGAATAGTGTTTGTTTCAGGCTATCTCACTTTTCCTAACAAAAAAAATTCCATTTTGACTCAACTTTTTAACATTGTCACTTTTTGCACAAAAGTGCTTATCTCGCCGAGTTGAGCACTTAGTGCAAATTTTTGACTTTCCGCCATATTTCAAGTATTACCTTATCGCCGTGCAACTCGGCTTCGTTTATCGCACGACATCTCGTCCTTGAGATCGGTAAGTTCCCTCAATAGATCTCCGCGAGATTTCTCGTCGTCGTCGTCGTCGCCGACGCGTACCTTGTTCGTATAGCTTTCGACGGGCGCACGAACTCCTTCTTCCTCTGCATTTTGTTCCGGGCGTTCGTCTTCGGCATCTTCTTCCAAGCGAAGTTCGGCGATCAGAGACACCAAGCCCTCGTGTTTCGACGGATCTTCGTCCCCGTCCTTTTTCCTGTCGGTCCCTTTTTCATCGAAGTCGATTATGCTCGAGACCAGAACTTCGTTTGTCAA